ATGTGGAGCGTAGTGCGATACAAGGCCACCTCTTATGTCTCTACTCGGGTCTAAGAGCAGACTCCATTGCATAGGCTGTGAATTAGAAATGTTCTGAGTCTTTTGGAATCTACCATCAGTCAACTACATACCGTCTATCCGGGTCATAGAGCAACGTCTCCTGTGATCAACTGCCAACCATGTACATAATCTCATTAGGATAACTTGAATGCCGGAATTAAACGCTGAGTACCGCTCACTCTCAATCAAGCAAGGAATTTTTCCTTGTTCAAATCCACCCATTCATGGAAGCGCAATGACGGTCTCCCAGTGTACCGTTGAACATTTCCCGATGCCTCCTCATACCCCGGTATATTAAAGAAACCCCCGGATTCCTCCTGCTGGCGGAACTGAACAAGCACAGTCTTCGCTATAGGCTCCGGCACCCCATTCTCCGTCATCATAACCTGCAGTGCTTCCTGCTCATCCACCTTGGTGACCTTGGCTTCCTTGCCAACGACGTTGCCAATCACACCAACGGCCTCCCTAAGCGACATCTTCTCTGGTCCGACAAGACCGACAATATTCTTCTTGCCCCCATCTTCACCAGCTGGCAGCCCCTTCGCCAAAAACACCCCGGCGACACGCCCGATATCCTCCGGAGCGATGAAATCAAACCTGGCCTCGGGATACGCCAGCTTGACCTCTCCCTTGAGAACCTCACTCCTCCACCACATCGAATTGCTAGCGAAAAAGGCCGGCCGAATAGCCACATACCCATCCTCCCCAAAAACATCCCGCAGATTCACCTCCACCTGCGCATGCGAGAACGCAATGAAGTCGGTCGGTGGGACGGCGTCGACATCGCCATGCGCGTTTATGCTTATACTGCTTAGAAGCACGACAGTCTCGATCCCGGCGCCCTTGAGCGCCTCGATGCTCGCGCGCAATGCATCCGTCGTGCCAAAGGCGACGTAGATGAATGCGTGCTTGGCGCCGGTTTTTGTGACGGCGTTGTGGATGCTTTCGGGCGAGGTTAGATCCGCTTGGACCCGCTCAAAGTTGCCGCTGGATTCTTGCTCCGAAGTGAGATTGGGGATGGACTTGGTGGTGTCGCGCATGGCGAGAATGACCTTTGCGTTGCGCTCATGGGCGCTGAGGGCAGCCGCGGAGCCGACGCCGCCTGTGGGGCCGAAGACGATCACGGTTGGTGTTGACATTTTGTAGCGGGCAATTGTCGAAATGGGACTTTTGCGATAATATGGGTGAGATGATGATAATGATGCTGGAGGGTTGTCTTTTCAACTATTTATATTCGACATCGACATCAGTGTCATCATCACGGAAGAGGTATAGATTACAAACATGTCGGGGTTTACAATGCCCGACCGCCGGGCGGAATTGGGGCGTTAGTCTGACGTAAGCGGGCACTTCGGATTCGCCCATTTTAAAGTGCGACACCGTCGGTCAGAGTTGTCCGATCACCGATATGCTTGACTGGACATCGAGGAGCATGGTGTGCTGTCAAATACATATAGATTACATAGACTCTCTTGATAAACCGGTTTTTCTAACTATTCGACCGATGAGAACATCAACGAGGTGTTAGCGGATTGACGACGATGGTCTGTCCTTTAGCGCCCGCATCAATGAATATGAGACGCTCAAGACTTGGGTTGGTAACTATATAGGTATAGTATGTACAGTCTCACCTCTCTGCCTTCCTCGGACCCAAGCATGGTCATACCTCCTCTGGCCTGTTTTCAGCATTCTGCCCGGGCAGTGGCTCTGGCTCTTGCAGTCCCCATTCCCCCTCTCCAATCCTCTTTCCGTAGAATTTGACGAGCAGCCCAACGGCCATCGGTCCAATAATGGTGTTAAGCAGAATCGCCCAGACTCCAGTGATGAAGGCATCCTCACTCACATAGGATGTCTCATTAAATCCTATCTCGATGATAAGTAGACCGATCTCACCGCGCGCTACCATCGCAGAGCCCAAGAGCAGCCCAGACAACCAGGTAGTGTTGGAATGCGACCTTCCATGTTTCTCCCTCGATGAGTCGTTCTGAAGCTCCTGTTCACCATTTCCTCCATTCGACAATTCCTTCCGCTTGGAAGGCCATAGAAGGGGAGAATATTTCCACAGCGGGAGCCAGATACCAACCGCAAACTAGGCAGTCAGTTTAGGCTCGCCTCTTAAACCCTGGAATGAAGTACATACCTTAGCAACGACCATCAGAAGGGAAAAGACCACCCCCCTCCAAATCCTTTTCCCCGTCCAGAGCTGCACAAATGGAATGGCAAATCCGATACTAGCGAAGAAAAGCGGCTCCATCAGGTAGGACTGCACGTCCAGTAGATACACCTCAAAGGTATGTACGAAAGTGGGACTCTTATGCGCCTCGCGCTCGCCTTCCTCACGACTCATGACCACAAACGGACCGGATGGATGCTTGCTGGGTATATATGTCAAGAAAGTTCCGGCGAGGAAGGCGCCAAAAAGAACGGAGGTACCCGCGTACGCCGCGATGGTAATGAACGCGCAGAGGACCAGCACCATAAGAATGATGTTTGAGACATGATCGAACTGTGCAAAAGCATGCTCGATATAACGTCGGAAGAGCCTTGCAAAAACGTATTTCGTGAGTATTGGGGTGAGGATGGCCATGGCGACGGAGGCCACGATAGGCCGGCCGATGATCCAGCCCAGGTTGGCGTTGCCTTCGCCGGAGAGTTTACCCAGATTGGCTATTATGCTGTTGTCATGATGATTAGTTCGGCTCGTGCTGTTTAGGGTAATGGTGGTTAATACCTCAGTAAGACGAGACCAACGACATCGTCAATGACGGCAGCGCTCACAAGCACGGCGCCCACTCGTGTCTGTGCAAGGTCTACGGATCTAGCTGCAGATTTAATAACTGCGAAGGTGGTGCCTATGAAGGGTCAGAAGATGTAAACGGTCAAGGAAAGACATGACATACCAAGAGAAGTTGCTGATAACGCAGCACCGACGATGAAGGTTTCGACGGGTCCTGCTACGGTTAGCCGGGCATACTCCTATGACAGCAGGATGGCATACCATATCCAAATCCAAGGTAAAGCAGCAAGTAGGAGAAAGCAATCGGGAAGAGAACTCCAACCGCGGCTCCCAGAAGACTGAGAATGAAATTCCTCTTGAGTAGATCGAGACGAGCGCTAAGCCCTCCTACATACTGTCAGTTTCTTCCCATGGGTTAGAGTGCCAGACATACCCTCAAAGATAATTAAAATCAACCCGACGTAACCTAACACACGAAATGTGTCCTGCCAGTCCTCTTCCAGGATATTCGCTAAAGGTAGCCCATATATGATACCCACTGCAATCTGCCCGATAATTCCGGCTTGGATGATCCTTGCAGAAACCCATTCCGCCAGAGACAGGAAGAAGAAAAAAGAGATTACGATAAGAATCTGAACGACTGCATACTATTGTCAGTTCAATATATGCGTGACCGGAATGTCTGACTTGCTGCTTGGTTCGTGATATGGCAGGAAACTGCCTGCCATGTCCTTTTTTGTAGTTCCTCCTGGAAAAGCCGTACAAGAAGCTATATCCTACAGAAGTTGTAGCATATTAATCAAGTTGAATACGATGAAATCCGCCGGAATTGGTAACTGTCACGTGGCGTAGCTACTGGTGACGTCGGCCCAGAGGAAGACATCCAGCATATTGTCGTCTCCATGTCCAAAATTGGTTTGAAGATCAAACTCCAGGGAAATCCACCTGAAGTAGTGGTTCACTTTCCCGAGCAATGAACGTGCTGCTAATTCTTCAAGTCGATCCACCTTGGGCCCAGTAGAGCAGGTAAATTCCCCGCCAATGCTCTTGGCCTTTGGACGATGCTTGGCGGAGATCTTGGCATGACGGTGAAGAATAGGCGGTGATTTCTGTTGGCGCTCTATCAACTGTATTTATACTATGATAAGCCCCTTCCTACACCCGCTTGCTGGCCACTAGGACGTATTCAGGTAGGCCTATATTCCTCAGTCGCTGTCAACAATCTCGATTTAGGATTCTAGGCTCTAACTAAAGTATCTCTAGGAGTCTAGGCGGCGTCTTAACCTGTCTGTTAAGGCCAAAGCCAAGTAGACTAATCAAAGTGCATCGATAGATGTAGCTTTGAACCAGCTTTGTTTAGAATGATTCCTGCCCGAGGTTTGCCTGAAGTTTGCCTTCGCATATAGGCAATTATCGCTCAAATAGGTGCCGGACAGTATTATCTATTGCTAAATGATTTCGTCATCCGTCCCAAGCTCTCCAATTTCAAAGCAAAGGACATCCTACCATAGCATTGAAGATATCTGCGGACTGTCGTGGAAATTAAACATGTCAGGCGCTAGCTATGTCACCCATTAAAATGCAATACCGCTAGACTATAAGGTGTCCGGGCGATGTACTCAGTCTAGGAAGTACATGGAAGGAACGGACATGTAGATCTAAGATTTGGTCCATTCGGTACTCTGAGTAACGTGTAATTTTGATGTATCAATGTTTGCTTTGCTCGGCCATGGCTTCATGAGACCAAAATTCTACTACGGAAAATCTAATGGTCAGAATGATACAAGGGTCCTCATCTCCTCCGTATAAGATCATCTTTCTAGTGCTCTGCTTCCATAAATATTCGCAGACTAACCCAGCCAAAATGGATGCGCTCAAGCTCCTCGTGTTGGATATATTGGATCACATCAACATCCGATTGATAAGGAGTAGCACTGGTCGAGCAAGAGATGAACTGGTCCAAATATACCTTGGAAACGACTCATCATGTGATCCTGAAGCGACAGAGCCCCCTCTAGGTGTCTACTCAGACCCCGAGTCGTACACCCGTGACACCTTTCAGTCGACCTTTCGACTTGAGGGCCCAACGATGCTGGGATTATTACGGGAATCCAGACAATGTGGAGCCTCGACTACCCCCGGAACCCTACAATGTAGACCCAAAGCTTTGTTCGTTTTTTTATTCCCTTTCCTTAGAGGCACAATGCCGAATTACACCCTCTCAGGTTCACAGCTGGAGAAATTAGACAACAGCAGGCGAGCTCAGCGCAACCCACGGAAATACCTTCAAGAAAGATGCCGTATTATCCTGTTGCCCCACCTGGAAGCTGCAGTGGAGCGGTTTGAGGAGGCTCGAACTGTTGCTGGCACGTACGAGCTTGGTTCGGGCACGGCAAAAGTAAAGGACATGTACCACCCTTCTAAGATGGAGACACGGCGATTGATTGCCTGGTCCGATCATACCATCACTTTCATTAACCCGGAGGGGCAGCGAAGAAATCTGCTTGCTGTCGTCGTGGCAAAGGAAAGATGGGGCGATGCCTACAATCCTTTGTTGGCTCATATAGGTAAGTTCAAATAGCGATGGCTTATTTTCCTCGGACAACGGGACAGAGGAGAGGAAATTCTAACCATGAAAATAGGGATAGTTCACAGAAATCGGAAGGAGAGAGGCGAAAAGAACAGTGTGGTATATGGGATTGCCACTGATGGTTTCAATTTTAAGATCGTGAAGATTGACAACAAGTCAAAGGTAAGATCCTATAGAGGAATTCGGGAGTTACAAGCTAATCATGGGTTCAGCTGTTTGAATCTTGCTTATATTCATTTGACGAAGAGTGGGGGTTCTTCCTTAAGTATCTTGACGACATTTTGGCAGAGGGACCTAAACAATGCGGGGAATAATCCCCATATCAAGAGAAGATGGCTATAATTGCTTCAACTTACATACTACTCAACTAACATACTACTGACTGGCTTCGTCGATACTCTAGATCTGAAGATGAAATACACACTGGCTACTTGAATGTACACCCATATAACGCAAGTTGTAGTTGAAGATTTCCTATGGCTGCGAGGACCACTGACTGGGTTCCATATCACTTGACAATAAACCTATAGAATGAGTTGAGAGTTCACTCGGCCGAAATGAACAATATCAGTTTTCTCAATACCTGATCAAATCACTCTCTCAACCTCTCTCATACTTGAAAACCATCTGGAATGACCGAGCTATTCCTAATCTGGATCCGATATCAATCAGCTTCAGGCCTAGCGCCATGTACTATTCCCCACATATACCACGTTCCGGGTTTCCCCAGCTGCATCATGCATGATTGCTGCCTTAACCGTCAGATTTCTGGTCAATATCCATCACAATGAACATGAACATAAAGCTAAAGCCCACCCTAACACATTTAATCCTAACTGTAATCTGTCTCTTCACCCTCACATGCAGTAAGCCTCTCATCCACACTAGTTTGCAATACAGAGTACTAACTACTAACAAACAGCCCTCTACCTCTACGCCCGGCACCAGTCATCCACCCACAACAACACCGCCTACTGCGCAGACTGCATGCACTACGCCATGAGCGTGGACGCCAAGATCCGACATGCGGAGCAGGACGGCGCGGAGAACGTCCGCGGCAACAGGCAGTTCTTCCGGTATGCGGTTGACGTGACTTGTCGGGGCGGGTTGTTTGTCGACAAGCGGTGTTTGGACTTTCGCAGGGGGTTCCTGGGGGATCCGGCGAGGTATATGATTGAGGTGGGGGAGCCGTATGAGGCGTGTAGGGGAATTGGGGCTTGTAGATAGCTAGATGTATATGATGAGTTTGTTGCTCTGCTGTTAATGTTTTGGAACCTAGTCTCTTGCACAAGAATCTTCTGCGTTACGGCGAGTATGATGAGTGGGAATATATCAATCCCAGTCAAGAGATTGCAGAATCCAGGCTACTGATAAATCGACAACACATCCGTCGAATTCTCATAATCCACACGGCACGCCTTCCCAAAATCCCCATACCTCTCTCCCCGCTGCAGGACAAACAGCTCAAACGCCTCCTCCGAGCAACTCTCCCCGGGCCCATCGCGACACCCAACAAGCGGCTGCGGACCCTCATTCACCAGAACGCGATAGTACGCCCCGTCTTCATACCCGTAGGTATCGCACGACATCTTCTCAATCGCAATGTTCGTCAAGAACGGCAAGATCTGGCTACTCTTCCACACTCGGCCGTAGTTGATCGTGTTTGTAGGCATGGTGGCGTTGACGTCGTACACGCCCGAGTAGGCGCTATTATTGAACAGGCCCAGGGCAGTGAGCACGGTTGGTGGGAGCTCGCGGTGGGTGAACGAGACGTAGAGGTCTTGAGCTGCCGAATCGTCGGCGAGAATGGTTCTTGTTGCGTTGAGCCAGGGGAAGCCGATGGCGGGGGAGAGTTCGCGGCCGTAGCCTGTGTTGTGGAAGTACATGAGGTCGTTTCCGTACTCGAAGGCGAGCCATTCGTTTGGGCTGAAGATGTCGAGGGAGCAAAAGGGCGAAGACCCGCGGATGACGGTCTCGTAGCCGCAGAGCTCGAACATGGCGACGATGTCGTCGGCGGTGAAGTTGAAGGAGGGCGCTTGCGCTTGGAGTCGCGCGATGATCGGTTTGGTGTAGTGGGAGACGAATTCCTGGTGTTGTTAGCTAGTGTTTGGGGTTGATTTGAAGGGACGTACACTTGACTGCTTGGAGCCGTAGCTGGAGCTGTATGCCGGGCAGCTTGCATACGGGGTTAATGAGTTGGCTGCGGCGTGCTTGTATTCCCCGACGTGGGTGAGATCGATCTGGGTCGTTTGGTTGCCAGTGAATCCGAGGACAAATCCCTGCGCCGTCTTGACGGTCCTCTCGGCTGTCGACGTCCATACCTTCTGTGGTGTTTTGAAGTCTGGATATTTGTCGTGGATGTTGACGCCAAACATCATCGACTCCTGCAGACCGACTCGGGTGAGTTTCTCGAGATGGGCCTCGGTGATTGGTGCGCTCCACTTGCCCAGGAACGAGAGGCTTCCCGCTTTGGACCAATCCTGTGTTGTATTGTGCAGCTTTTGGATGAATGGCTCGAGATAGCTCTCGTAGTCAAAATCGTTGGCGTAGATGGCGGCATGGCGGACAAGATAAGCTGCGCGGGTGACATTACAGCCCTGTGGCACCGATGGATCCAATTGAGGCTCATTTGGTGTAAAGTAGGGGGAGATTCCGGCCAGATGGTGGAGGGGATCGAAGTCGTTCGAGTCGGCGTTTGCCAGGGTGATAGACCCTAAGGCAAGAAGCAGCGTCGAAAGCCGATACATGCCGAGATATATAACCATGGCCTGACCCAAGTCCACCACGACAACGACTTTCACCAAATTTACTCAATGAATACTAAAGCTCAAATTACTACTCAAATCAGGAGAATTAATTTATAGATTCGGGTTGGATTGTTTATTCCATCGATGTCACCGGTGCAGATCGCAATCCAGTTTGGACATGGATGACCAAGAAACTGGCGATGGTATGACGCAGTGGATGGAGACCCATCGCATCATCTTCCAACAAATATTAAGCATTAATCTATCACATCTCCACAACTTCAGTCTCTCTTAACAGAAGCTTCCTTCATCAACCCAATTCAGCTAATGAGCCTGTGGATTAACTCTAGCCCTACGACGGATCTCCCGAAATAGCTCCAAAGCCAGTCAGCCTTGTTTTTTCCCGGCAAAACCTACGTATGATCAAGGCAGCAACACTTGGCCTCCATGAGTGAGCTGGCGATTGCGCACGCGGTCGAAAGCAAGGAGTCATTTCACAAGCTGGCACATTAATCCGGTCCGAAATTGCGGTCGAGGGTCGTGTAACAGACATAATGCCATCCTCACCCTCTCTTATCTACAAATAGCAGTCTGCACGAGCGAGAGATCATTTTGGTGCCTCGCGTCCATCCACCTCATGGATGACTTCTTGGTTGGATTGCAACTCAGAAACGATCCGCCGAGCACCGCTCGACGGATTCGAATACCCAGATTGGGCATATGTCATGTTGGCAGGACTGTATCCCGCGTATCCACCGCTCTGCTGTAGTTTCTTCTGATACATCCGTCGCTGGAACCAGAGCGCAAATAGCGTCGCAACCAAACAGGCACCCAAACCAGCGCCAACCCCAGCCCCGACCGCGGTTGTCTTCGAGCTCGAATCGGTGCAGACTTCAGTACCGTTGCCGGCTGCAGCAGTCGTGGTGACTGTCGTCGTGGCTATCGTTCCGGTCCCGGTCCCTGTGGCTGTTGATGTTGATGTTGACGATGCCGATGTGCTCGTGTATCCGTAGATACTGCCGATGTTGACAGTCCCCGCATTAGCGCAGCAGTCCGTCCCATTGATGCTACAGCACCACTGGTCAACACCCTTGGCCGGGCAAGGGAGAAGGTGGATTCCGCCCGATGTAGCTATACGCAAACCAATATATTAAAAGTCGAACTTTGACCACTAGGAGTATGTCTATCGCACTTACAGCCAGAGCATATCTTCTGACACTGGCTGCTCTTTCCGGTTTCATCGGTGCACGCATTCTGATATATCAACCCGGCGTAGCCCTGCATCTGTGCCAGACACAGTCCACTTGTCAAACAAATGTCGTTGGCCATGTTCTTGGGCTTGTTATTCGCGCAGCAGGGGCTATTTTCTAGATCCGGGAAACATGGCTGGAAACTGCTGTCTGTTTTGCTGCCGTCGGAATAGTAGCATTGCGCTGCGATCGTGGAATGGATCCATTGTGTTAACAAAAGCACCGCAGCGAGTGATACCGATGACGATGAGAAGAACATTTTGACGACTGAGATCTCGGTTCACGGGTCATGTCAGCACGAAAAAAATCTCTTAGCCTTACGTGCGGACGAAGGGTGTCTGGGGGAATTTATTCCGTCATGATTCATGACCAAGTCTGCGGTATGTGGGCCATGTAGGGGGCATAAATCCAACATCTTGGCTAGGAATCATTGGATAGCAGTGATGCTAGTGTCAAACCGCAGAAATGAGCTGCTAGGCCAAGGGGCCATGAGGCTGGCAGTGCGAACACTAAGCATGTGTTCGAGTTTTGAAAATGGGCCGATTTGTTCAGCTGCCTCTTAACTCCGTATCTGCGGCTTACGGAGTACAGACACGTCATATGCACCAATCAACGGCCAGTTTGCAAGATGAATATTTCAAAAGAGTCTAGAGAGGAGTAGAGACCCCCAAGACAATTAGACTCAGATGACAAATCAAAACCAACACACAAATGAACTGGTTTGACATGATGCTGATCATACTGGAACAGGTGAGCGCTTGGACCCTAAGATGTCCAGCCAAAATGGGCAGTGCAAAGCCAAGACCAAGCCTAAATTGTGGTCTATTACGACTCAGCCAATCAATGCTGGAATGGTGGACCCTCGTTTGGGGGCCGAAATGTTCGTCGAATCTTCAGCAATGGATAGCGCCGCTTATCTCATTTTCCACGCCTTGGTTCATCAATACGACTGAGAGCAATGGCAAACCAACAAAGGAATACAGCAGTGCACTATGTTCATTAGCAATCTACCAACAACGCCTATAGGGCGCATTCTTGCTACAATCAAAATTTCCTCCGTGGCAAAGACATCCAAGGGCGGTGACTGGTGGACCTGAAGTCTTTGCTAGATCTTTGCAGATCAGAGGACCACACCATTCTGATTTGGCCTAGATTATGCAACAAGTCAGGTCAATTTTCTCAATCCCCAAGACTGTCCGCATTCTTCGGCGGATTTGTTGACGATGCCTTCATCTCATGATCTTTCTGTCCGTTAACAAGCTCAGGACGAGTCTCGTACTCAGATTTTGCCCTGATATTATTACTCCCAGATCAAAAATGAAGAGCAACTAGTTCTACATCTGACGCAGCCGCCCATCCTCAAAAGTATATTATTATTGCAATGACACATCGGTGATGGCCACTAAGTACAAAACGAGCCATCACAGGCCTGTGAAAATGCACCATCCCATCCATCCAGCGAACATGACTGAAAGAAATACTTCGGCTTATTGCAAAAACAGTACATACAAGCTTTGTGCTACTGCGGGAGGAATGGGAGTGGCATTGATGGCAAGGGAAGCCATGCTTGACGCCAGTAATCATTGTTGACATAAACATAGCAGGGCTTTAGTGTCGTAAGAGTCAGAAATACCTCGTGTTGAACCTGGTATATCACAAGCTGACTGATCTTTTAGCCATATACTCACAGAAATCATGTCAATGATGAGGAGTATCTGTATCTCTCCACCACAACGCGTGCTATCAAGTTGAGATTCTCAGGGGATGTTTTTATGGTGGAGAATATCAGTCAATATGCCAGTCAATTTAGTTGATTTCTATTGGGCAGACATTCTAGTATGAGGACAATCAAGGTAACTATTCCTAAAAGACGCGCCATGAAACATTACAGGGCTCGGGAAAGTGAATGAGATGGCCATAGTAGACCTATGTTAAGATGCACTCTTGCAGAAATCCTAAACATAGTACTTAAGCCTAGAGTGGAAAACCACTACTGCTAAGTGAATTGTTCTCATAGTTATCAGGCTGTATTGAGCCTCATTACTCATATCACACAGCAATGGAAGCTGAATAGCATCAATGAAACCGGATTGACGCCTCACAAGTCTGAAATGGTATCCCTGTTCCATTGCACCCACTGAATGAAGTTGAATCAATTACAAGCATCTCGCTTGCTCAAAGCCCATTGGATGACGTGAAATCTCATTGTCACCCTAAATGATTGAAAGGGACGTACGTACAAACAGCACACCTAAACGGCTTTGAGATTGCGAAAACATTCCCATCAATAACCGTCTGGTATTCTGCTATCTCTATTATTCTGTCTATTATGACACCTACTATGTTCAAATATAAATAATGCCAACTTTGCCCCCCTATTTCGACCTGAGTCAAATTCAGTTTCTTATCTTCATTCGTTTCCATCTGCTGCACACCGCTTGATTCTATAACCTCTCTACCGCCACGATGAGCGAAGCACCCCTCAGACAGCGGATGCTCAAGTTCAATAATTGGGTCGAGATCGCGATCCTCTCAACCCTAGACAAAAAGACTCAGGACGAATACTGGGAAATGCGACAGGCCTTACACGAGGACCCAAACCCGAAAGCGAGATCCCTCCCGGTCAAGGAGCTCTCCAGAGCTGACGTCGAAAGGATCTTCAAGAGCGAATGCTCAGCAGTTATGGGGCCTCTAGCTTTGAAAACTCATCTGAGGTTATCTCGTTACGGTTTTTCCATGGATGGCAGAGCTTTGAACGGGATGTTCTCCATGGACCGGGGGCTACCTCTCCGCCAGAATAATGGCTTTGTCAACAGGACGGAGGACAGAATCGAAGGCGGCTTCATTGCTATGTCCAACATAACCGGGCGGGCGAGAATTCAGTCTATCGTCACACATTGCAAGCGGACTTCAAGGGAGAATGGTAAAGGGACCTGGGAGGAGCCAAGGACTAGCTGCGGAGATACATGCGAGCACTGAACCCCTTCTCAAGCTTGGATACTGGATCAGAAACGAGGTCAGGACATTGAGACCAGACGTGTCCACGTTTCAACAGCACGAGAGAGACGAATAGGTCGTCTTCCATTTCACCATAACCCATGCTTATCATCTCATCAAGGCTAGAACGATGTTAACTCCTTCCCACAACGCAGACCAAGCATGGTACCAACGGGGCCAGTTTCGGTGGCTTAACTCATCGCCCTGCTCTCTACGACGCAGTCGAGCTTGGATATCCCAACTTTGCCATCACGTAATCTGGTCGTGATCGATGCGAAGGATGCGGAGACACTCGAAGAAGCCACAGCATAATTGCTACGCGATATGAGTATCCAGCTACCCTCCCTCGAAGGGATGCAGAACACCACTGATCAGACGCAGCCATGGTACACAGAATGCGAAGAGCTGGAAACTTTCCTTCGACGGACCCAGGAACGAAATACCAGGGACCTCTAACGGCTACCAACATCAGATGCTCTGAGTGTTGCGCGATGCACGGCAGCCTTTTCCGGCTCCTGATTTGAGCAACTAGTTTTTGGCACAAATCATTTATAACGAGATCGCCCGGGCATATCGGTTGTGTGTAATGTGCATCAATAGACGGTAAATTCCATCCCACGGTTGATGTGGTAATAGATACTAACATATGCTGTCATAGCTACTCAACGTCTCATGTCCTCCCTTTCCCTCACGACGGAACACAGGAACAGTATAAGGTTTGGTCCCTGGCGTTCAACGACCCCAGACGGCGCCCAAAAAATGACATCTCAAGACCAAAGTCAAGCTAACTAGAGGCATGTTTCGTCATGAGGGAAAGGGGAGGACAAAAATAACACCAAGAAAAAGGGTGGATTTTAAGTGACCGAGAACATGACCGGTCGCTTTTAGTTCAAACACAAGTATGTTACGTCCTCTTTAACTTCTTGCATATCTAATCAAGTGTAGGAGCTCAGTGACAAACGTCCAAAGCCAGCAATTTTAACATAGAATCGCGCTAAGATGCTCTCTTTCTCTCACTTAACTGACACCATACTCCCGCCTCCTCTCATGGCCTTGGCTTCTCAGCTATTAGGACCTCTTAAGCCTCACTGGCAACTTATTACTCTGTACGCACTATTTGGATGGAGCACTGATTCATGTCAGGGTGGTCTGCTAACTTAGTATATCACTGATAGTCTCCATCATCAACAAGTTTGCCTCTCTCGCAAAATGCCTACAAAGATCAACCCTAAGAAAGCTGTTAAGTCCACTGCTCCAGCTCTGAATACATCCTAGTACTATACACGTTCGAGCACTTTACATAATATCGACTTTGCTGGTGGTCTCTAGTCATGGCCGGGCTTCCTGAGCGCTGTTCAGTCCTGTCACAAAAGCCATACCTATCAGCAACGGATTCTGGGATACACACTGCAAGTCCAGGATCTATATACACATGGGAATATCAAGGTTAGTAAAAACCATAGGGTCCAAGGCCATTTCTAAAAAAATTTCAGAGACATCATACTATTTTTATGTCATAATCAACTACTTAGCAAAACACCAATCTCTATTTTACAGATTTCAAATATGAACCTTCTACATACCCTGGCACGCCTGACATGATCTTGAAAGACAACAACCACGTCTTGAAGATCATCGGGGAGCTTAAGGCACCCTGGATTACCAAGCATCACATTCAGCCAAGGCTTAAAAATGCAAAGGGATACTCGCACCCAAACGCCAGCCCTCGCCCCTCACTCATTCTCCGTTCGCAAGATCCCGTCAATCAAAGAATTTACAGAGCTGGCGTAGGTTCTAGATATCCCACCAGTCATGGACAGGTTGTCCGAGGAGGTACCTGAGTCACAGTTATGAATTGTCTATCCCGCTGCAAAGCAGTGATCTGTGGATACACACCGAAAATGGTTGCACCCTTCGCTGTGGCCAGCAATTCAGTATCTGCCACTGACACTGTAACATGATCTGACTTCTTTCCATGAAGCCGGATCATGGCTTATCGGCATGACGATGTGAAGACGAGTTATCCCGCAATCTACCGAGACAACAATAGCACATATCGCCACCATCGTCAATCGGTGGAACGATACTGGCAAGCCGTCTCAATTTTGACTCGAAGACTCTAAAACACTCTGGAACCCTGTTTATTAAAAATTCATACAGTACAGGCAATAAGCACGTCGTGAATGCAGGTCATTTCAATTATTTAGTAATACGCTGTCATGGTTATGAACAGAAATGTGGGAATCAGATTAACATGCTCAACAGCACAAGACGATCAAAAGTAATCCGAGAGTAAAGGGTCATCAAGCATCGGTCAACCGAATTGTATATATCATGCCCGCATGAGATCAATCTGTCTCCGGCCGCTGACCGTAAATGATATGTACCTTGGTGTAGAGATGGTAGGTTTGGAAGTCGCGCAGTTCCTTGCGCATACCCGCGACGAGGACCTCGATCTCGGGGCGTGACCAGCCCAGATACCGCGTAAATAGGGCGAACGAGTAGGGGCCGACGGCTTCAAACATGTTGACTTGGTGGTAGCGACCGAGTTCCTTGAGCTTCGGATCCTTGGGCCAGGGGCTCTGGGGGAGCTGCAGGACGGTCAGTATAGCTTTGACTAACGACTCCGACGCGAGTAGTACCTTGTAGACGTCCTCGCGGACGTTAATAAAGCCTGCCTTCTCCATCTTCTCCTTCCATGTGGCCGCCGTTGTCATGTCTTTTCCGTGCTTCTTCGATGCCAGATGCATGTTCTTGATCCCCTCGATCAAGTTAACGGCCTTGAGGTGGGTGCCGTCATCGGAATAGGAGTTCACGTCCATGGAAGCCATTTCTAGCCAGCCACCTGGCCTCAGGTTCTCATATGCTTGTCTGAAGAGCTTGTTATGGTCGCGGATGGCTCCTTCGAGTTCGCGGCCATGGATGTAATCGAACGGTTGGCTGTAGGACCAGGGCAATTCGAAGTCGTCGATCTCGAAGCGGCAATTGGGAGGGATCCTGAGGAAATTAACACGCTGTCCGATATGATCGATCAAGGAAGGTGTACCATGAGGGTTGGATGGGACTGAGATCATTTCCTGGTAGCAGCCAATCTGTTAGCCATTCTGCAATGCGCGCTCCTGCAGTCCACAACATACCGATGACCTCTGACTCGGGATGCTCGCTGTCACATCACATTAGTTGGTTGCGCGTCCATCGCAAATGATTCAAGGAGTTCTCACTCCGCAAAATCGATCGCCCATATTCCAGTACCGGTTCCGATATCCAACACTCGTCGGGGGTTCTTGATCGGTGCGGCGTGCAGTTCACCTTTGAGAAGGATGCGATAGATGTGGTGGCTCTAGTGGAGAGATGATCGATTAGCTAAGGACGGACCCCGGTCAAGGGGCAGAGTCGAGTCGGCGCTAACCAGGTCCAGGCGGTCTTGTTCTTGCTCGTCATTGGGCTAAGCGGTCAGCTTCGCGCATTATGAGAACCATCGCATTAAGGAAGAGTATATACCAGCACGTATTCACCCTCGTGGAAAGAATGATATCTGCGACCGTTCTAACGCGGGTTCAGTAGATTGCCTGCGACAAACACAGTAGAGGCGGTACCTCGTAGCTGTTTCGGCTAGATTAGTGGCTGCAAAAGTGAAAACAGAGGCAGAGATCAATGCGTACGTATAGGCCATGGCACTCGATGTAATACTGGTGGTGTAGCTGGCGTCTCCAAGCCTGTAGTGATGTTAGTCGGGGTACCGGAATGTGCGACAGAGAGGCGACTGACGAGCCAGGGTAGGCGGAGTCGGCATCGCTAAAGTCCTACTCATCCGTTAATCCCACGGCAGAGGTATAGCTTGTGATGAGGCAACCAACATCAGGCTCGATAACACTTGGACTCTGCTGTTGTGGATGTGGATGCGACTGTGGAATTGGACTGGCCATGATGGCGGGTGTTGATGGTGATGGAGGTGGTGGTGGTAGAGTGGAGGAAGATCCGAGGGATGGAAGAGAACAAAGAACGGAGAAGTCAAAGGGTAAAAAATAAGATTTCCTGGTCAGTATGGGGAAGAACCAGAAAAGAACAAAAGCTGGTTAGGCTTAAGGAAGATACTTAAAAGGTAGCGTGTTTAGCCAGTTCGCAGGAAGATCGAGAATAATAATGATTTTCAAGGAAGAATAATGTGACTTGTCAAACTGCTGTGCATTTTCTCGATCCCTTTAAGTACCTGACTGTCTGCCACTCGTGCAACCTTCATTAGCCTATCCCCGTACAGATTATCTGCCACCCAGTTCGACCTAGAGTCTAGACTTTCTCTCATACGGCAAGAAGCATTACCATACTCTGCTATATTCTTTATTATTATCCAGAGATGGAATGCTCCAATTTGCAGCACCCCTGCAAAGGAACAAATTATGCAACGTACTTTGTGCATATGAAGACAGATCCCGAATCGCCGACCGACTCCCCTAAGCTGACTAGAACGACAAGGTTACAAGGCCGCAAGGCCGATCGAGGTATCATTATCCATTTTAGGAGACACACAGCGTTCGTTCAAGGGTAGCGGCTGTTAGACTCCGCTAAAGCGGTCCACAAGCGTTCAAGTGCACCCGCGGGGCATCGGATGTAGGTCTGGATGGGGAAGGTTAAGGCCTCTGAGAGCCACTCAGACACGCGGTCAATTTGCAATGCCTGTCCTGAAGAATCACTGTGCCTTCTGATTTATTGGATGACGCCAGGGTGGAGAAGGACTGGTGGTACTAATGTGGGTACTAACTGAGTGGATAGTACCTTAGTAGTACATGGATGTTCTTGACTTGTGTCACTGCCGAGTAACTCAACTTGGATTGAAAGTATATCCCTCTAGAATGGCCATTGATATCAATGATCACAGTGATATTGAAGTTTATCAAAAGCCTGGCCGTTATCGAACATCAGATGGGTAGTACTATAATGGATGCCTTGTACCTCAGCGTAAAGTACAATATAATACTCATACA